CAGATTGAAATCATTAATAATAACTGGTTTTGTTGATACTTTTTATCCATTGTACTCTTCGTTGCTTTTGAGAATTTTTTCGAGCGATAATTCTGAATAATCTGAATGAAAAATTGAAAATTAATCAGCGCGCGCGATGTGAGATTAATTTAGAAAAAATAATATAATTGTTTAAATTTGAAGAAAGAATCAAAGCTAAGAAACAGATATTTTTGCGTACAGTTATCTATCCGTGATAATGTGTATACAGCGGCAATGTTTTGTTTAGTATCTAATACCATTAGTCACACATGTCACATATGGAGGTCACAGATGATTTTTAGCCAATGCTTATATTAATTAAACACTTTAAAACGGTTATACTTAAAACACTATTTTACGGAAAAAAATGGTTTAAATTCTGATTTTTGATAATTGTATTATTTTATTTCGCATATATCAATATTTTGCGCTGTATTGTGTGATTCAGGGAAACTGACATTCTCCTAGTAAGAATTCTTGCAAAACCTTGCAAAAACATGTTCACCGCAAAATGGCAATTGTGCAACGGTAAAATTTTCGAAAGAGGATAAGAATCAGGAAAGAATAGTCAAAGATAATAGAGTTTGAAAAAGAACATTAGTTCTTCGTATTCAATATTTTACGCAATAACGAGTTTCCATTTATTAGAACTTCAATTATATTGTCGACTATTTTATAACAATAATTTCGACATAATAAAATTATATAGGATTTGCCATTAACCGACAGTTTAAAAAGTCAAAAAGAGGAACATCAAATAAACTTAGAGAAGGTAATTAAAAATTGAGAGATATCTTTCAATTTTTTCTTTCAATTTAAATAAAACCGCGCAAATTCTGTTCGATTAAACGTTACTGTCGCGATGTATTGTATGTACGTACATACAAGTACGTTCGTACGCACGTACGTACGACTGCTCGCAACCTTGGTGCCACTTTCACTCCGTTCACTTATTTCCCCATACAATCATTCCATTCGATCTTTACCCAAGATTTTAAGCAAATTAGTACATAACTTATAGTAATTAATATTAAAAATAAAAACATAAAAAAAGACATATATTTATCTATCTATAATCAATTATTACGCTAAAATTGCATTTTAAAATCAATATTACAAAATTTTTATGATTTAAAATAAGTACGTTATATAATTTTACCTTTGTTAATTGAAATATATTCTTTTGTTAATTTCAAAGAAACGTGTTGACTCTTACTTTGCCCGTTACTTATTGTCGTTTGATTTAAAATATTCAAACTTATATTTTCTGAAAAACTTTTCTTTATGACAGTGTCATTATTGTCGCAAACGAACAATTATTATTATCGTGTGTTTTCAAAAGGCAATACGATATCCTTTTTACAACACGTGAAAAGGATCTTATCTTTTAATAGCCACGAGTGCTGCAAAATGTAATCTTAGTCATTATATGACCGTCGTCATTATCAGTTTTCATGCTCAAATTGGATTGTGAAAACGCTTGGTAAA